CCTGCCTCTGCCTCCCAAGTGCTGGGAGTAAAGGCATGCACCACCAACGCCCGGTGTAGTTAATGTTCTGGTAATGCCCAGTACCACAGGCTCATGGTTACCACCTGATCCAAGGAAACCCTCTCCTGGCTTGGTGAGTTTAGGATTCTGAGTTTGTTATTGTTACAGTTGGTCCATTTGCCAAGATTTTCCGGCTCTTGTTCTTGAATCTGTGAACCATTTTTTTTCCGTCAACCTTGCTAGTTGGAAGTTTAAGACCAGCCTGTTCTGTGTAGCCAGCTCCCAGCCTAGCGAAGCTACGTTATCTCAAAAAAGAAAACCATAGAATATGTAAAGCACCAACGAACAATTTGCACTCAGGGCTAAGATCATCTGCAAAGGTGGAGAGCTGGAGGGAGTCCCATCTCACACAAGCAACTTCATGAGCTATATGACACCGAGGTGGCATTAGCTTGACAATGCTGGGTCACTGTGACCAGGGCTGGCATCAGGAACCAAAGCAAAGGCCAAAACATGTTGACTGGGTCGTTGCTAGTGAGGTGTGTCAGTGTGCATTCCCCAACGAACAATACTTTAACCAGCCCAGATGTCATACCGGGCACTCGGGTGGCCACTGAGGCTGGAAGCCCAGCCCTTAAGGAGCTTACAGACAGCTGGCAAGACAAAGCTTCCCCACCAACCACCCTATCACAGAAACGTGACTAAGTGGCTCTGAGCAGACAAGGTGGAGAAGTGATGCTGGAAAGCCAGGTGTAGAACGCCACATGTCTCAGGCAAGAGAGCTCAGCAGGGACCAAGATACATGTGCAGTGGTCCACGAACACAGGCTAACTGCACTGACCCAGTGAGCACTGCCGTCAGCCCTGGGATACTTGACAAGGGCAGGCCTATGTCCCTACCCATGTGCAGCTAGGGTTGGCTGGGGAGCTGAGGTGCCCCTTCCTGGCCCCCAACTCTGTTTTCTGCAGGGCCATTGGGGAAACTTACCACCCCGCCAGGCTCCACTCTCTTGTACACATAGGGCCATTGGGGAAACTGTCCCCACCCCGCCAGGCTCCGCTCTCTTGTACACACAGGCCGCCACTCATCTCTCTTCTCTTTTTGAGGTAGGGTCTCATATAACCCAGTTTGCTCTTGAACCTGACCCAGGGATGGGTAACAGGTGTGCATCATCATGCCTGGTTTGTGCACAGCTGGGACTAAACCCAGATTCTATGCAAGCTGGGCAAGCACTCTGCCAACTGACTCCATCTCTGTTGCTCACCCACCTTGAGTCTCTTGGAAGCTTATGTTCCTGATTTGAAGAGCCAAGGACCCATAGTCTAGTCTTTTCTTTGGTGACAGGTGCAGAGAAGCCTAGGACACTTATCAATCTGCCCAAGTTTGAGAGCCCCAAACCTGGGCCTCCTGACCTCAGTTCATCTCACTATGATGCCCTTCCCTGCAGATCTGCTGGTTCCTGATCACACTGGGGGCTATGACACCTAGAAAGAGAAAGCCACCTGGGCCTGTCAACACTGCAATCAAACGAGTACAAGGAGCTTTGGAGAACTTTTTATTGTTTAAAAATCATAATTGAAGCTTCAAAAACATACAACCCAACATGTCCCAACTCCAGGCCCTAATCCACACCCTAATCCACGGTTCTGTCTGTCCCCTCCTGCTGCCTACACCACCATTAGGCAAGACCCTGCCTCCAGGAGACCTGCCGCCCATTCTCTGCCCACAGTGTATTGTCACCAGCTACAGAGACATAGTAGCAAGAGGGGGGATAGTTAGCTCCCAGCATCCCTGACCCCTGCACATACGCAGTCTGTGAGCTGTGTGTGGGAAAGGAGGCCAGGTTCCCGGGCAGGGACGCAGGGACCCCTGAGGGAAAAGACAAAAGCCAGTCTCCACTCAGCCCACCCCTCCCCAGGCCCTGGCTCAAGGGAAGCTGTCATCATCATCTTCTGCCATCTCCTTGGCAAATTCCAAGTCCTGCTGCTCTCGCTCACGCCGTTCCTGCAGAGAGAGGGGCTGCCGGCTTCACCCAAGGGAGGGGGCTGCCCTGCCCTCCACAACCTTCCCTGCTTCCCTTTGAAAAGGCCCACCCTTCATTCTTGCTCACCTCTGCAGACTCCAGGTCCTTGTTGTAGGATTTGGGAGGAAAGCGCATGGCCTAAAAACAGCAGGTGGAGAAAGAGAAGCAGGAATCACTGGCATGCCCGCTGCCTAGCCCAGACACTAAGGTCTAAACACGATGGGCCATGGCCACCCTCCTGTGTAGGTGGGAACTGATCATCCACCATCCTCCACCCACCCACCCACCCA